TGCTGCCTAGGATATTTAGGGTCGCGTGTTTGATGATTTATGATGATGAATTGAGAAATTATGAAAGGAAGCCTGTTTTAAGGCTGTTATTTTATATTCATGTAGGGGCTGAAGAAAACTAAAAACTCCAGTCACTATTGCCAACCTCTGAATTCAAATTTCTTAGTCTTTCCTTGCCGTAGAGAATGTTCACTTCATGCGTTGTCTTGATGAAGGTGACTGCTAAGTTTTGGGTCTGGGGAGTGGGGCACAGACCTACGCCTCTACCTCAGCCATGCATCGATTTCCACCTCTATTTTACTGCAGAGGACCGCAGTACTGCGGTTGAAAGTGCAAGGAACGGTGGGACACATTCTTCATGAGAGTGAATATTATATTTTCCATAGCCGTGTATTTTTTGCCATCAATGACATACATGGAATGAATGCTTCATGCCTTCGAATTTTTTGTTATGCTGTCCCGCACAACAGCCATTATAAACTCTTGCTTGAAAACGTCGATCATTATTTCGTACTAAAGCAGGTGTTCTTTCTTCTTTTCTTTCTTTCTTTTCTCATTCATCCCATTCCTTATTTCCATTTCTGAACGCGGCTGTACTCCATTACAACGTTTTGCTGAAGGCTTTTGTAATCAAACGAGCATCTGGCTCTTAGTCGGTTAATGCACAACATACATTGCTGCATCACTATATTTCCATACCAAGTGCTTAAAAGAAGACCGGCACAGGAGACTAATATACGACTTAAAACTTTCACGGCGAAACGAATTAAAATCCTCTCGGGCTATCGGCCGTGTCAAATGGTGAAAACTTGCCGACCTTTCAGAGACGATCTCTGGCCCCAGGACGTCTGATGGGACAGATGTTCCCTGAAACGTCGGCGAGTTTTGACCAATTGACACGGCTGATAGCCCGAAAGGACTTTATTAAAGAAGACAGATTTTGCGGGACTGAGTAACATAAAATATTCCAAAGTATTGAACATTCACTCCATTTACTCTGTGTATTTTAAGCCCTCCAATGTAGCGTTTATTATTTATTTAACACAACGTAAATCGTCTGTACCTCTGGCATCTTCTTCCGTCAGAATATTATCTCAGCTGACTTACACGGTAGGTTTAAAATATTATTGTATAATATGTTTTAATCGATTATTATACTAAATGTATTAATTCCGTATATAAATCTATTGATTTTTTTTCCACATCTTTACCCATCACTCTGGAGATTCAAAAAAAATTGTTATTAGAATTTTTCGTTGGAAACGCATCCCATGTGCTGAAACCCATATGAAACACGATGTTCTGGAATGTAAGCTGTTTAAGATGCTAATTTTCTTTCAAATGGCGAGGCTGACAAAGGAATACAGTTTAGTGAACACTTTCTTTGCCTAACAAGAGATTATAGTAAAGTATCCGATTTAGTTAAAATTTTCATATGTGACTCAAAGACCCACATGCATAACACGCCTACATATGTGACTCGTATTGACTTCTTATGTTAGTAGTATATCTGCAGGGCCTGCGAAATTTGACTTGCATAGTTCAGATGGTACATTAGTTATTGCCATAAAGCCGAGAGCCAAATGGGCCCCTAATTATATTCTGCTCGGCCGTAATAATTTTGCCTAAAATTTTGGACATAATCCATTGTTTGTTGTTTCTCATAACACGACGTTTCGAGGACTGGATCTGTGTCTGTCATCAGCTAAAATAAAGAATACAATAGGACTCGTACTCTGTGGGGTCCCTTAGAAGGAGCTAGTCTCGATCCCTGTTGATGAAATTTTATATCTTTCGAAAAAAATGATTACCACTCAAAATGTTTGGTCATAATATTTGTCTTTATTGCCAGTAATATTATTTTAAACATAAAAGTTCGCGCGGCGATTTGGCTAATATTATTGACGGTAGGACCTTAACAAAATACAAAGGGGCACCCCCCCCCCCCCCCCCCAGTGTCATGATTTTCATACCAATTTTCGTGAGATAAACAGAAAAAAGGTCAGTGTCTTCTTAGGATAAACAGTAGACTAAAACTTGGCACTGGTTGGTGAAGGACTGCAATGAGCAGTACGTCATTAAACAGATGTGAATTCAGAACCGAGTGACAGAGCTATCAGCTGGAAAAGTGGTTAAGTTGAACTCTCAGTAACATGGCAGCTGCGACATAGCAGTGTTAGTGGTGGGACGTAATGAGGAACTGTGATCGTCCGAAGGTCGCCGACCGCAACCGCTCAAACAGGTTCCTGCACTTAAAGGACCTGGACTGCGGATGCAGCTGTTTCCAAACATGGCTACTATTATAACTGTGCGTAACAGTAAGGACAGCAGAAAAACTGTTTCAACACATTGATATAAATTAATTTATTCTGCCGGCATAGATAACAGAATACTTGAATTTAGAAAACATTGATTTCAACTACAGCCATCAGGCCTACTTATTTACCACTGTCAATAAATTACAACGGATCGTATGAACACTCACAAACGAAACGCTGGCCTGAGGGCTGTGCTACATTAAAATAAATCAAATTTGTGGTCTAACTAATTGTGAAGCGATTTATTGTTTTCAGATATATAATTAGATGTAACTGAAACACATCGGGTTTATGGAATTGAGATTTCGGGGTCGTAGGGCATGTTAATGTTTTATTCCCATTTATAACACCCATAGAATGTCAAACAGGACTTTCTCCGAAAGAAATTCAGTAACACTAATCAGAAATAGAAGATCGTGCCCTAATTGTTCATTCCTATGGTATTTTGCCGAAATAAAATATATTCGTCTGTCACAGCGAATAAGGGACAGCTATTAAACAACTGTGTAATTTTTTTTGGCGAGTAAAAATGTTTGCCCGCTCTGTGAGCGTAGTTAGAAAGCGCAGTGCAAGTGAAAGGTTGATTAATAATGAAGCTATTTAGTTCGAAATTGGATCTTCTTAGTCTCTCTCTTACCTGATATTATTTCGATCCAATTTGTCACGCTTTCTCAGTGTCTTATGGTACAGCATGGAGCCATGAGGAAATGAATTCCATCGTCCATTGAAAACACCACCAGGATTCTGTAACGCGATTTGAATTTCAGTCAGCTTTTTTAACCCCGTTTAGATATCTTCTGCTAAATAAAAGTTGAAGCTGTGAGGGGAATGGAAGTGTAACTCCATGCATTATTCGCATGGACAGAAAGTGGAAATGTATTTACGCTTCGGTCGTTTAGGTCCCCCGGTACCCGTTGGACACCTGATATTATATTTCTGCATACATTTCTTCGTGTTCGTACAAGATACTTTTTATTTACGTTACTTTTAGGTTAGATTAATTCCTATGAGACGTTTTTAGATAGTTTCACGTCGTTTTCGGAGACATCAGTTAATGTTGTGATGCAAGAAGCGCATCAATGACATAATTATGCCTGTTCTCCAGAACAGGAAATTGTGAGAGGATAGAGAAAAATACAGGAGGAGGAGCGTCATAGTCCGTACTCTTCATACAATGTCGCTAGAGTGATCGATCAGATCGGCGGATCATGTAGAATGCATGGGAAACTGAGAAGTCCGTATATAATTTAATCGGAATACCGGGGTTGGTGTTTCTCAGTCTCTGGGGGCTCGCACATTTGCGATATATTTTCCCCGCACACTAGAATTATAATAGAGAACTCAAATTTATGATTAAATATTTACCTATTTTAAGTAATGTAATTTATTGTATAAAAATATAAAATTTTCGTAAAACAGAAAGATACTATTTAACTACATAATTGCAGAAATATACTGAATTACAGAAAAAATGTGGTTTTTTATTAACTTATTTTGTTTAATTCCAAAATTTAATTTTATGTCTGCGTCCAGACCGGTTCTGGGGCCCACCCAGCCTCCTATCCAATTTGTACCGGGGTTCTTATCCGGGGGTAAACCGCGGCCGGGGCGTGACTCTGACCACTCACCCCCATCTAGTGCCGAGGTCAAGAATGAGTAGGAGCTATACCGCCTCTCCCATCAAGCGCCTACATGGCGTGTAGTGCGACAGCTTTACATTCTTTTACTTTCACTTTATTTAATTTTATTTGCTCATTCATTCAAAGCTTCGCTGCGCACCTAACAACAGCTCGCGGCACACTGATTGAGAACCATTGATCAAACTAGCATGTGTTTAAATGCCGTTTACTAAATTCTTTAGAGAACAATCTCTACTCTTTGTACCACCTACTTTAGTATTTACAGTATTGGTAACGCTGTCTTTTTCCCCACAGTGTATTTAAGAGCATTGTGTGGTTCTCAGACCGAATAGCCATAATTTCATTAACATTAACCAGTTGGTTTTTGTAATGGCGACACATTGTATTTTCATTGAGGAAGAACTGAATTTTTAATTGCAGTATTATGTAGATGAGCTTCGTGCTTCAAAGGGTTAATTTAATCATGTGGCATTTCTCATTTCGTGATGGAACGGCCTCTAAATGATTGTGGGTGTGTAGTAACTTTTAAAATGCCAAGGAAATTATATATACGACCAATTAGGATAATCCAAAAGATGTCAGATTTTAAGTCGAATTGTAGATTAAAATTCTTACTTGCATCATTGTTATCAGAGATTTATATGAAGATTGCTGTCGTCTGGGTTTTTGCGCCGTGTAGTCTGGTAGACGTTTCAGAGGTCCTTCCTGCTTCCATCATCAGGGCACGGCGCATCAACCCAAAAGACAGCAGTCTTCAGAGTCACCGTCGTGAAAACCTCAAATCCTACATCGTACATACATACATATCTTCTTGTATTGAATGTTGTAAGTATTAAGAAAATGTTTCTACCTCAGACACTCGATTTATCTTTCATACTCAGCTAAAAGAACCCCTGAACTACTGACTTGTTTCTAAACTACTGTCTTTTCACAATTCTGTGAGGGTCGCCCTGAGAAACATGACAGCACAGTTAAGGGCAGGGCCACGCAATTGACGAGTTCCTTAATAATAGTTATTGTATGACCCACATTCTTGTTTCAGGTACGGAATAGACGGACAGACATGGAAACCAAAGCAGTATTTTGTATGGCAGACTAGAAGACAAGAATGCGTCTGGTTTGCGTGTTAAAGCCAGAGCTATTATGACACGTTGTGTTCTGACGCCTCGAGGGATGTTCTTGTAAGTCATTCAGAGAGTGAAGTTATTGTACGTACATCAGCCTGGCACCACAAATCTTTCTGTTTGAACACACCTGCACTTTACAGATTCCTTATTATATGCATGTTTAGCAGTTAGACTAATAAATACAGGAAAATTATAAAGTACTGTTTGAAATTAAAAGATTACAACCCTGGATTTATTGAAGGATATAATGTGAGACGTGTACAAAATGAGAGACCACAATCAAGTTATTGTTACTAGTGTCTAGGTCAGTGGTGCCCAAACTTGTTTTCTGGCGCCACCACTGAAATGGGAAAAAAACTTTAGCACACCGTGTACTATTTTACATTAAAAAAATAAACTCTACAGTTCTTACTGAATGGGGAGGATGGGCCTCCATATTTGAGACAAAGTGGATCGCTGATCTAGTAACCCCTAAACCACTTTAAAGCCGAAATCGTTTACGGTGCTTTGATTTAACTGCTATCGTATCTTAAAAAGTTTTTTCACACAAGTATATTATGCCAAAAAGTAGTAATACACAGATGGCTAATTGTGAAAAATCCGCATATTCGTTCCTGACATTGATCAAAAAATCAGAAAGAGGTCGAACTTCAAACTAGATGTTGGGGAAGGTATCGCAGGAAAGTTTCATCAGGGATTCCTGGATTTTGGATTAATTCGTGCTGAGAAAGAGTTTGGTTTGAAAAATGACTCTTGAAATTGCTCTTAAGGTTAGTAAAGTGGGTCAGAACTTGGAGATTTAATTCCTTTGAATTCAGTGTAAATTCCCTTGGAGATATTCATGCTGGCAAACATTTTATTATTACTTTCACAAAGGATTTTGCAAAGTGTCACCTTTGTTACGAATTCTCCCACAATACTGCAAATAAGTGACAGTTCAAAGGCCGAACTTTCACAAAGTTCACGACTTTTACGGCCTTCTTTAGCACAGTGTAATTGTGGCTGAAGGTCACGTGGTTCTGAAGCGTCACTGTGGATGATGTAATGCAGAGGGTTTACGTGAGGAGCAACTTGCCCTGCTTTAGCTTGAGAGCCTTTCCCGACTCTGTCACAGATGGCATCCCATCCTTAACAGATGCCGACACGATTTAACAAAGAAATATCTTTCGAAGTAATGTGGTCATTCACAGTCATGAACATATCTCTGTGAGCCTCCACAGAACATGAAGTCGTCATGAATGTTTTGTTCTAAGTAGTATCAGACAAACATATGTAGCTGGGGTAAACCCAAAGCATGTGTTGATTCGTCTATTTGAAGTGAAAATTTTGGACTATATTTAACCCGGGTTACCGGTTACTTCTTAATGTCGTCAGACACTGATTCAATTCCTCGCTTCACCGTATTGTTATAAAGAGGGAATGCATTCAAGTTTTTGGCCGTCGGTATAGGCTTTTAGTTTTTAAAATGCTAGATCTCAAATGAGGCTACAGGGACTTTTGTGGAAGTAGTGATTGCTCTTTTAATTTAAGTTTAGCCGTTTCCGCATTTCTAAAAACTTTCGTTCCAAGAATTTTAATGGATTATGTGTAGGAGGTGGATATAACTAACTAACTAACTAACTAACTAACTAGATGGCTTACCGAACCCGAAGGTTCATCACCGAATTAACCAAAGCCCTCCACACCGGACCCTGTCCTGGGCCAACAAAATCCAGTTTCCTTCACCTCCTATCTCCCATAGATCCCGCCTGACATTATCCTCCCATCTACGTCTAGGTCTCCCCAGCGGTTTCTTTCCCTCAGGCTTCCCGACCAATACCCGGTGCACACCTCTTGTCCCATCCATGCGCGCTACATGCCCCGCCCATCTCATTCTTCTCGACTCAATCACCTTGACAATATTGGGGGAGGAGTATAAATTTTTGAGTTCGTCATTGTGTAGTTTTCTCCATACCCCACCGTCTTCTCTCCGAAGCCCAAATTAAGAGATGTATATAATGTTTTAAGTGCCTTATCAGGTGTACTGCAATTAAACTATCGTTTGCAGGAACTTCTCCGCATAGGAAATACTCCTCACGTTCTTCTCCGTTCGCGAGTTAACAAGTAAAATTGAACGTTAGGAAATCCGATATTTTGTTACCATTCTTTTATTTATGGTTTCTTCAGTAGCGTTGCTTGCGCTGATGCCACTCTTAAGCTGTTTTACGGACCAGGAATCCATATTTTTACTCACACTGAATTTAAACTGCACACTGTTCTCACTTTTCGTTTGTCTGGCGAATATGACACGCTGAGACCACGACTTGTAATAGTCTGAACTATATAATACGTGTATTTTGAATTTATTTGCTCGTACCGAAGAAAAGCCGCGAGCAATCACCATGACATCACCATCTTCAGGTCAGTTACATTACAGAATACCACCTATAATAAAAAAAGTGCTCAGACTGCCTAATCTTTAGGCATCCAATGTTACACAATCGTTACTAACTGTGCTTTTTAATAGTGGATAAACGGTCGATATCTTTTTGTTTTGAAGCAAAAGGCTTTTCCGTTATTTTTATATGCATAACTTTCTGTTCTGCATTCGTCGCTTTGGTGCGCGCCACCTAGTTTGGGAACCACTGTTCTGTATGGGTTTCTTTCGTAACACTGCAGATGTCCCAACGGTAGTCAGTTTCTGCCAAATCCTACCAAGCGTGATCTAACCCACTAGGCATATTATTCGTGTCATGAGATATTCAAAGGAATTAAGTCAGGTAACCTTGGTGGCCGCCTAGTATAAAGCACGCAGACGCTGTGATTACAGGAACATGGAAATGTACTGCTTACATCAGCATACGTTTCGTGTTCGCAGTTTTAATTAAAGCTATGCGAACAGCTTTTAAAATTATTAAGCAAGTTTGTAGGTGGATGCCGTAAAATAAATGAAACCAAAGTTCACTGTGTGCACAATATCAATCCATGAAGGCGTCAAGGTAAATCTCGGTTTATTCTTAACCTCGGCTCCTGACAGGCTCTAGCGATCAGCCTCGCCATTTGGTGGTATTGCAGTTGGGAGTTTTCCCACAGTATATATAGGACTGGAGGCTGGACGGGCCCCATAATCGTTTAGAACGTAGCCCAAGGTTACCTTGAAATCAGAAGTTAATGAGTCGTAAGATCAAAATGTTGTGCTGGACTGCACTTCTAATGTAAATCAGTTCGCAAATTTTTTACTAGTTTCAGCAAGGACTGGGATGGTACAAAAAATCTAATGATCCAACAAACTTCCCCCCTCCCCCAAATAGTCTCTGAATTAGTAATTAATTACCCGCCGTTTATGGAGCCTAACGTTTCATTACCGTGTTCACCGTGTCCCTTTAAAATTCGTTTTAATATTGTTCTCGTATATATGACTAAATCTTCCAAGTAATATCTTCAGGTTTTCTTACTAAAACTTCACAAGCATTTCTAATCCAATGCGTTCTTTATGCCCTGTTCATCTAGTCATTAATTTGATTATCCTACAGTATTAAGTGCAGAATAAATATAAAGCTTTTCATTATACATTTTTCTTCATATTCATATTAAACATTTATCTCCAGCTTTGTGATTAGTTAGTTCAAAAACGTTCATCACAACACATTAATATAAGCGAAATACAATTATGGTATCGAAGAAAACAGATTGTGGAGCGTTTAGCTATTTGAAGCCGAAGCCCGTCTAAATAGTATTTGAGAAATCAGTCCATACTGCAAACAAAACACATCACTTCACCATTACCAAGATCAATTTATTGCATCGAATCACAGGAGACCCATAAATACAAAATACACAATTATTGATCGTTAAAGTAATTAAGTACATATACGAGTAATTACCACTGCATTTTAAAAGGTTGATTTTGGTTAATTTATTCATATTCAGGATGAGAGTTGTAATAACAGAATGTTGATGTTTTGAGTTGTTAATAGGACTGCAAATGTGGATCCACATCGCGAATTAATTAGACAGTACGTATATGACCTTTTTGAATTTGTCTGAAATGTAAGGGCGCGATATTACCGAAACATTTAGATTGATTTTAATAAACACTTTGGAACTTAAAAGTAATCGTATGGATGTGTGATGTGGAACACTGTGCCATTTTGGTTCTTTTCCAGAGTGTAAAGGTAATTGAGTATGCTGTATCAATATGTGAACGAGTCGTCTTGAAACATACTTATATGGTCTGTTACTGTCAAAGAGTTCGTATTCTGTGCATACGAGGTGCGATCGGAAAGTTTCAAGACAGCGCGTATAAAAACCCGTAAACTTATCTCAGGTATTAAATTCATCCATCACCTTCGAAGTAGTTCCCCTGAGAGTGAACACAACGATCCCAGCGCCGCTGCCAAGCCTGGAAGCATCCCTGGAAATCTTTCTTTGTCAGCCTGTCAAGCACCATCTGCGATTCTGCCTGAATCTCTTCTATCGTCTCAAATCTCCTTCCCTTTACCTGAATTTTCTTCTTTGGGAAGAGGAAGAAGGCACACGGAGCTAA